ATGAATTTCATAAGACAAACACTGAAAGACATAGCATGTCGCAGAGATTCTGACATGTTGATGATAGACAGATTCAGGTGAGTTTTCTGATCTAAAACAAGCCAAAAAAAAAACCCTTCAAAGCTAAATTATACCACAGATCAACTGGAATAAAGTGGAGCCCATCCAACAAACAGTCAACACACACTTAGCGAAACAAGGATTGAACATTCTCTAAAACTTACCATAAAGCAATCCTTAACAAACACAAAAAAAAATAAAGAAAGAAGAAAAGAAAGGAAGAAAGAAAGAAATCATTCCGTGTGTCTTATAAGATCACAGTGCAATAAAATTAAAAATCATTAAAAGAAATTCAGAAACTATACAAATACTTAAAGAATAAATAGTGAGTCATGGGGAAAAATTATGGAGGAACTTAAAAACATTTCTAGGATCAAATGATAGCACATCTATCAGACCTTCTAGGATATGGCCAAGAGCTTCCTAAGAAGAAAGTTTATAATAATATAGCAAAAATAAATCCAGAAGAAATAAACTATCTAAATAGACATACAATGAGCAAGAAATTGGCATACTAAAGAAGTTTTCCCAAAAGGAAAGACTGGGACCACGTGGATCCCTTTTAAATTTTACCAGTCTTTAAAGGAAGGTCTAGCACCAACAACATTACAAACCTTTCCACAATTCAGAAAGAGCTGGGACACCACCAACCTCTTAATTCTGATACTGCTAGAAGCAAGCATCCCGAGGAATCTGCATATACAAGAAGTTTTTAAATAGGACTCTAATAGTACAACCATTATCAGTCTGTAAAGACTGTATCATTTCTAAAAGTGCCTCATTTTTGGCCCTATTATCAAACCATGTTTTTAAGGAGAAAATATTAAGGATAAAGCTAATCCCTAGAATTAAATATAGGAGTGTAGGAGGCAAATCACATAAGTTTTGTATAATACCATTCATGGTATAAGTAAAAAGAAAAAGCTGTTGAACTCTTGTATTATCTGTCATCTTTCCCTTTTAAATTATCAATTTGACCTTATAAACCCTACCTATAAGGAGTTGGAGTAGATGCAATAACCGTTACTGGCCAGTAGGTGTCGCCCATTGTGGCCACGTGGTCTGCTTGAACAGTTTGAATTGGTTCAGCAGGTTAGATACTGAAAAAATATACTCAGATTAAAAGCAGTTATCCAGTGTAATCACAGACTGTGTGCTCCACAGAGATCCCTGATTGATCAGCAGCAGTGCATGGACAGCAAAGCAGCAACACCGACAGAGACACCTGGGGAAACACACACCCCACCAGAATTGGGAAAACTGGACTCACAAGCTAGCCATGCAGCTGCCAGTGGTATAGGTGTCTGGAGACCCAGAGCAGCTCCTAGAAGCTACTGAGGCTAGCAGCTACTTAGGGCCACCACACAGGGATCCTCCCAAATGCACCATGCAGAGTCTGGTGGCAGCTGCCTGGTGCCACGGGGAACCTGAGCCCCGCATTGGGTGCCAACTGTTGAATTATTTCAGGTCGAGAAATACCAGGCTAACTACAAGATAGACCAATTCTATTTTTTTATTATTATTATAATGGTTAAACTCAAAACAGGAATGAAAAGTCCAAGCTCAACTATGTAGTGCAGGAACCACAGCAAACCCTGGGCCACCTGGCATTTTTCTCCAGGTATCCAAAAAGTTATACCCCTAACTTGGTCCTACCTCTTAAAGTTTGTTGGCTGACAGAGAATCCCAAAAGTTTCCAGGAAGAAGAAGGGGCCCCACATGGCATCATGATGCTGATACTGCTAATATAAGACCGTTTTTGTTTGTTTGGTTGGTTGGTACCAGCTGCTGAAATGGTACACTTTCTTACAACATTCTGGCCAGAATTCCAAATAAGAACTTTGGAAAAACCCTATTGACTACTCAAATATCATTTGCAATTATACTAGACAGTAATCTTGAAACTTAACCATTGCTTTACTTTTACAGGATCCCATAAAAAGAACAACCCATGACAGCTGGAAGTAATTCTAGAAAATGATGTCCCCTCTCACAACAAAGTTTGTCCTCAGGGTTGGGGACACCGTTTGGGGGTTGATTATTACTTGTATAAGGTAGAGAATTGGGGTGGAAACTATATGTGCCCAGAGATTTAAAAATAGAGGAAAGTTGAATGGGATAATAGATAATTTAGTACAAACTTATTCATAATAATAATAATAGTGGGTAATAGAGTGAATACTTATGAGCTATTATTTATGGACAAATTACACTGGTATAGTTTTTTGTATATTGATACAAGTTCAAATTATATTTCTTATTTCTATTTACAATATTTATACACCTATGCAAAGTTATTTTGTCAGATTGTATGCATTAATGTTTCTATCTCTGTTTAAGATACTTTGAATACTAATACAAATTTTAGGATATATTTTCATATTTCATTATATAGTCCTACCTCTGACCAAGACATTTCTACATTATTTCATTTTGAGGTCATTTTCCTTATTTACTGCACAGTTGTTTACAGATTATTTAATATTCTGATATGAAGTATTAGTCTTTAAGTTATATCAGGTATTAAGATTATAGGTCTATAGTTATTCATATTTGTTATACCTATAGAAAGATTAATTAGGTTCTTTAGATACATAGAGATCATATTCTTCCTAGATAGGTAATCTTCAACCATTTCAAGGATCTGTAAAACATGGCATTTAAATAACTTAGGGCTCTGTTGACATGAGACAGGATTGCTCCTGACAGTACCAATCTATTCCTAGGAGAATATTGAACACCAAAGACACTCCACTTGGAGTTTGTTTTCTTCTTGGCACAATTTGCCTTTGGGCAAGGAACTGCCCATGCCTTGACCACGGACAAAGTGTATGATGTCTGGACTGGACAAGCAGGACACAAGAAAAAAGACTGCCAAAACTTGTCAAGACAGAGTAAGACGGTTCTGAAAATTTTCTTGCCTCTGAATATGGTCTGTCAGTTACTATAAGCCTTAGCCAAAGTTGATTGCTTCAACATTGCACATGAGACTTTGGGTGATTGCTCAGGTAGCCAATGATCTCTGTTATATCCTGCTGACTTTGGAAGCTGCTTGATTGAACTACCTGCCTACTCAAGTAATATTCCCTTGTCAGGCCTTCAATGGGGTTGAAGAGTAGATAGTCTTAGTTATCTTCCCCTTATGATTTAGCCAAGCCATTTTTAATGTAAGACTTAGACTCTTTAGAATACAATGTTTATTAAACATTTAGCATGTGTTCCTTGCTTAATATTATTTATGTTGGTTGTAGTCCTAATTTTATACTTAATATCTGTTCCTATTGTATATAGTTTTGTATTGGGTTTGGAACTCCCTTATTTAGACAAAAGGGTTAGGTAATGGGGAATTTCTGTTAGCCAATGAACGTAAAGTGGTGGGACCAAGTGTGGGGCATGGTCTTTTGGGTACCTGGAGAAAAACACTGGGTGGCCCAGCGGTTTTTTTTTTCTCTCTCTCTCGTTCCTGCACTTCATAGCTGAGCTTGGACTTTTCATCCCTGTTTTGTGAGTTTGCCCATTATAATAAAGAGCAATATAATTGATCTATCTTGTAGTTAGCCTGGTATTTCTCAGGCCTAGATAATTCAACAGATTGCATAAAGAAAAAAGATTTTACACAGCAAAGGGAGTTATCAGCAGGAGCACAAACAGCTTACACAGTCGTGCAGAATGTTTGCCAGATTGACTTCAGACTGGGGCTTAGTACCGAGAACATAAAACCCTTCGAAACTGAACAATAAAACTGCCTGTTGATAAATGAGTTCAGGAAAAGAACAGATGGTTCTCGGAAGAACCACAAATGTCCAGACCTATACTGAAAATGCAGTCAACAGTTTTAGCCATCAGAGACATCAAAATTAAAAGTACTTTAGGAGTCTACCTAAGAGTAGTCAGAATGGCTGCTACAAGAGAAAAATGACAATGACAAAGAGATGACTCAGTGGCTTAGAACACTGGCTGCTCCTCCAGACAGTCTGTGCTTGATTCCCAACACCCACGTGGCAGCACAAAGTCATCTGTGACTCCAGTCTCAGGGGAGCTGACATCTTCTTCTGGCCTCTCTGGTCACTGCACACACATGTGGTGCACAGACATACGTGCAGACAAAATACCCATACACGTAAAAATAAGTAAATAAAATACCAAAAGAAAAATGCCAACAGATGCTGATGAGGATGTAGGGAAAGCTGGATCCTTTTTCACTGTCAGGAGTGTGAACTGGAACAGCCATGAAATAAATCAGCACAGAGGCTTCAGAAAATCAACAGTGAGTGTAGCACAATTAATAAAAATCCAGAGACAGAAATTGGAGTTCAACCTGAAGGTTAGAAAAGCAAAACAGTCAGCCACTGGCTCTTTCCTCTACCTCAGTCCAAAATGGCCATGCTGCCTCCTGGAATCCCAGAGTGTGACTGAGCCTGAGAGCTGTCTCCTCCCATCTTGCATTCCTCTCTAGGGCTGGGATTAAAGGTGTGCACCACTACTGCCAGGTTTTTATGGCAAACTAGTGTGGCTATTGGGATTAAAAGTGTGTGCCGTCAGTACCTGGTCTGTAAGGTTGATCAGAGCAGCTATTTTACTCTCTGAACTTCAGGCAAGTTTCATTTATTAAAATACAAATGAAATATCACCAAATTTGAGGACATGAAACTGGGAGGGGGACATGTTGGGGAAATCTGAGAAGAGTTGGAGAGGAAATGAAGGATGGTTATAACCATATTTCACTGTATACATGAATTAAATTCTCAAAAGAATATATTTTAAAAATAAAACAGAATAAACTTATGACCCAACTATTCTACTTCTACACATATCCCCAAGACTCTATATCCTGCCATAGAGATACTTAAACATGTACATCCATTGCTATTCTAGCCACAACAGCAAGACATTGAAATTAGCCTAGATGTTCATCAACAAAAGAATGGGTAACAAAAATATAGAACATACAATATTTTATTTAACTATAATGAAATTATCAAATTTGTAGGAAAGTTGATGGATGTGTGCTAGGGAAATTCCTTCAGTCAATGGCCTTCAAGATGCTGGACCAGGTTGGGCGTTGCATTGGGTACCAAAATCACACTTTCTCTCTTGCTCTCTCTTGGCCACTGGATTTGGTTCCTGTTCCCGGCTTGTGCAAAGGACTGTGATCTGTGAATCTGTCCTCCTAAATAAAGAACCCTTTATTATTCTCAATTCTGAGCTAGTATGGGACTACTTTATTCACGTTCCCCTACAGATCTGGAATTATTATATTGAACAAAATAATCCAGACTCAGAATAACAAACATTGCATATTCTCTCTCAAATATGAATCATAACCATTAATGTTTATGCATGCACACATGTATATGCACATATATGTATATATGTGGGTATAAAGGTGGATATAGGTGTTGAACCTAGAAAGAGAACATAAGAGAAAAGAGGGTTGAGCAAGGAAGGGGGTAATAGAACACATTAGACATGAAAAAAGGGGCTGTTGGGAGTGTGTGCATTTATGTTTGGGTCTTCAATTCTATTCCATTGATCAATTTGTCTATTTTTATGCCGACATCATGCTGTTTTTATTACTGTAGCTTTGTAGCACATCTTGAAATTCAGGATGATGATACCTCCAACAGTGTTTTATTATTCAGGATTATTTTAGCTATGCTGGTTTTTCCTTTTGTGTGTGTGTGTATTTCCATATGAAGCTAAAAATTGTCCTTTCAACATCTGTGAAGATTTGTGTTGGAATTTTTGTAGGGATCATATTCAATCTGTAGATTGATTTTGGAAGTGTGGACATTTTTACAATATTAATCTATTTTTCATAAAACAAAAATAATGGAAGATATCAAGATGTTATAATAAGACATGCATTGATCAAGTTCACATCAGAGATAAAGACTTCTTATACAATTTTTTTTAAAAAAGATTAAACTACTTTAAAACTTTGACATAAGCCTACCTAATTATTCTTAATTAACTAGAAAAAGAAATAAAAAGTCTTCATCATAGAATGTGTTTCCAAAACTTTTCTATACCATTTTGCCAATTAAAAATCAAAACTTGATTATCTTTATAGGGAACAAGGAATATTATTAAATTTAATTCCCTTTTCAATGAAGGCAGGGAAAGGCTGGAGGGAGTAGGAGAAGGGGATGGATTGGGGAGGGGATAGGGAAAGAGAGTGCAGAGGAGGGTGTGTACCTCATTCTCTAACGGATATGAAGCCAATCTGTGTACCGAAGTTAAGCCCATCGCGGACGTGGGAGAAAAACTTCTCAGGATGGCAGGATGTGCAGAGGTCAAGATCTCCCTTCTGGTCATGAATATGCTGTGGAAGAATTCCTCCCCGTTCTAGAAGAATCCTTAGAACAAAGATATTTCAAGCGATAGAAGAGTTTATGTTACTGATAGTGAGAGCAATGTGGAAAGGGCATGTTTACGTGGGTGGACCCATTCCAGGAAAGATCTCGGCATGATGGAAGCTGCTGTTTACTCTGCAGCAGGACTAGGCAGGAAATGGTAGATTTTATCAGGCAAGCTCAAATGAGAGCTGTGCAGTGATCCACACTGCCCTGCAGATGTGTGCTGGCTTTGGGAGTCAGAGGCTTGTTTGAAAGGAAGAGCACGGTGTACAAAACTCCTTCGGTTCAGATAGGGTCTACTTTTAATCATCTGATCTTCACGTCTCCCACCTCCCCACGTACTAGGCTCTTCACAGAAAACTTTCTTCATAAATGCTCTGATGTAAATAGGAGTAAAATTAGTGACACTCATTTCACAGGTCACATTTAAGAATCAATTAGGATTGACTGAATCCTTTCTACTCGTGTGTTAAATGAGGCGGGGTCTGGGTATGACTTTGCTGACTGGAATAGAAACACAATTCAAATCAGACATCAGTTTTCTTTCGTAGAAATGACAATTTCCAACAGAAATTAGGAAGCACAGTCATACGTTCAAAATGCACAGGACCACAAACACAAGTTGTTACATATTGGTATTATCTAATATTTTACAAGAAATGTATTCTAATTAATTAGACAATAAGAATACTTTCAAAATATCAACGTTCTTATAGGTTCTATTTCTTAGAAGAACTGACCTTAGCAATAGCTGTGAAGTAAAGTACAAATCAGCTATTTTATACAAGGTTTAAGCAGTTTTCCGTAGATGTCAATTTGCAATTTACCTCGAAATAGATAAACTTTAACAGTCATGAAATTATCTGTGATACAAACTGTGTGAGAATAGACACCTTATTTAAAATGGGTTTTTCATATGTGTGTATGTTAGAGTCTCAACTATTTGCTACCTGGATTGTGGTGGGGAGTTATTTACTGTTCTCTAAAGTAATTTTCATCTTAGAAACAATAAGCAATAACCGGGCTTCCGGCACCGCATTGAAATCACACACCTGGTGGCTTTTCGGATGTCAACATAGGGATTCAGTGAGTCGAACTGTCGCACACATGAGGGATGAAGATCGTGAAATGAGGCTGCCTGTTCTCTGGGAAGAGTGAAGCAGCAGGGGCCTACTGAAGGCCCCAGAACAACAACGATGTCTTCCGGGTTACAGCCGTACTCTGCGGTCATAGCATCCACAGTAGCCATAGCTACGCCCAGCAAAGTACCTTTCCAGCCTGGTAAATGGGAAGAAAAGATGACAGGAGAAGTTAAAAATGTAGACTCCCAACAACAGCTGTGGTTTGTGTATTCAAAGTGTGTATCATAGATGAACCCCAAAGTAACGGCTCCAATACAGTACCGTCATTAACACTAGGTGCACTGTACAAAGAACATGACAGAACCGGCAATTAGAGGGAGTCTCTTTGCAAACTGGTATTGATGTTTAGTCTCCATAGGAACAATGTCCTATCAGTCTTTCTTCCCTCTCTTTTCTACTACCAGGGGAATGAAACACAGAACACATAACAGGTAAGCCACTTAATGTGTCCAACTCACTATTAACATTGGCAGTGTTCAATTCCCATAATTCCCTCATCTTGCACATTCCAAACTATATTCTCAAATAATAACTTCTCATTTCTCTATTCCTATAAATTTTTGTTTATGAATTTTAATTACTCTGTGTACTTTACATGAGGAGTATCATATTGGGTTCATCTGTGTCTGGCTGATTGAATCAATGTCTAGAAGGTCCATCCATGTTCACCATGCAGCACGTATCAGAATGTATAGCTGTTTAAAGACAGAGTATTGTGTCATTATACCAGACCACATCGTGTTTTCCTACTTATTCACTTGCCACTGAACACTTGGGTTGTCTCTACCTCATGGATCTTACGGATCAGGATGCTCTACCCGTAGATGTGAGTTCTTCTGGACCTAGATCCGGAGTCAGGATTCTAGGTCATGTGGCAATGGCAATTCTATTTTAAACTTTTGAAGGAATCACCATACCATATATATTTTTTTTAACTTGAGGTAGGGTTCCACTATGTAGCTATAATCTATTACGTAGACCAGGCTGGCCTTAGACTCAGAGATCTGCCTGCCTCTGCCTCCTATGTGCTGGTATCAAGTGCCACCATATCCAGAAGACCATTTCTGTTAGGAAATTTTTACATCTTTCATACTCATCATTCCTTGAGACTTGTTTTATGTCTTAAGTAGTAGTCACTCTGATGGACGCATGTTGAGATGACGGTTTTGATTTACATTTACATTTCTTTAATTATGAATGATGTTGATTAGTTTTTTCTTATGCTTCTTTAATATTAGCAAACATTTTTAGGGAAAAATTCCATTCCTTAGTATCTGATTCTCCTACCTCTACCTCCTGAGTGCTGGGATTTTAGGTGTGTGCCACCATACCTGGTTTGTATGATGCTATTGAACAGACAGTGTCATCTATGCCATGTAAGCACTCTGCCAATGCAATTACATCCCCAGTCCCTTTACCCATTCTTCAGCCCAGCTGTTTTGACTCTAGGATTGCAGATGTTGTTTTAGTAATTAACCCCTTACGAGATATAATGGTTTGCAAATTATTCATGCCATTGTGTGGGCTTCCTTTCTACTCCATTGATTATTCCTTTCAGGCATAAGAAATTTTAATTTTAATTTTTAATAATTTTAATGAGGTTCAATTTCCCTGTCTCTAAGTTTTTTTCTTCCCTGCTTGGCTATCTAAAAACTATATTGCCTAATCCAAAGGCATGAATACTTTTACTTCTGGTTTTCTTTTTCCTAAGAGTTTTATAAGTTTTTGCATCTTAGGTCACTGATCCATTCTGTCCTAATTTTTTACTATTGTTATGGTAAGGGCCAAAATCATTCTTTTGCTTCTCGGTGTCTGTCTTCCCCAGTTCCACGGGTTGAAGACATCATTCTTTCCTCGTTGAATAACCAGTTTGGCATCTTTGGTGAAAAGCTCTCAACTGCAGTTCAGGGCTTATCTGTTACTTGGAGGCTCTCTATTCTATTTTGTTAGTTTATCTACTATTTTTAATACTAGTGTTACATTGTTTTTGATACTATAGCTTTGAATGAGTTCTAGAATTAGAAACTGTGAAATGTCCAAATTTGATCTTTTACAGGATTGTTGTGACTATTCAGAGCCCCTTGAGGTTACATATGTAATTTAGGATGAATTTTTTTTCCTGTAAAAAAATGCAATTAGGGATTTGTTAGGAAGGTACCAAATCTGTAGATGATTTTGGGTAATGTTTACATCTTAATAATATTGTCTCCACTTTATGAACATGGGACTTCTAATTATCTCCTGTGTCTTTAGGCTCTCTTAGTAATGCTTTGGAGTCTTGCCATCTCTCCACTTTTCACACTACAGTTAATCTTTGCAGCTGACAGTCTCTTCACAGATTTTTCTACTAGCTCTTTATTTTCTTTGGATTTCATGATGAGTTCTAAGACTAAGCCACTTTCTTCCTTCCTGCTTCTATTTAGTGTCCTAAAATAAAACCTAAGAGAATTACATTTTTTCCTTCATTCCTTCACTCAGTTGACTTAGGCGGATAATAAGGAGTCTCCCTACTCTCTTTTCTCACTGCTCCATACACCTGTCCTTCTAAAACTAAACACTTGGGTAAAGAGATCATTTCTTCTTTTCAGTTAAAAGGAAGAGATGGTAGAAGTAATAAATATTTAATTAGTAGGTTCGGTGTCCATTGGCAAGTCATTGAATACGTAATTGGAAAAAGAGGACCAGGAGAGCCTATACCAGGCTTTTAATCCCGGCACTCGGGAGGCACAGACAGGCAGATCTCTGTGAGTTCGAGGCCAGCCTGGTCTACAGAGTAAGTTCCAGGACAGCCAAAGAAATACAGAGAAGCCTTGTGTTAGAAAGAAAGAAAGAAAGAAAGAAAGAAAGAAAGAAAGAAAGAAAGAAAGAAAGAAAGA